TTTTATTTTATATCATATCATATCATATCATATCATATCATATCATATCATATCATATCATATCACATCATATATTATATTTTTATTTTTATTAAAGGCGCTGGGTAGTCAGTAGTCCGTATTCTTCTGTTTTCTCTTCACATACCAGTTCTGCAATACAATGCAATGCATAGTCCTTTTTAAAGCTTCCAAGCATCCAAATTATTTTAAAGAAGGCTCAACCTCATCGTCATCCAACACTCACAGCAGCATGCTGGTGTGGTGCAGGATTCTTGTGCATTCTCTGCCTGAAATAAATACTAATCAGTTGTGAAGTCTTTGTTTTCATGTAAAGGAGGAGCACTCATTAGACTCGGATACGAGCCTCATGAACAAAACTTCCAGCGCCCGACATAACTTCAAGCCTGCAAAGTAAACACTCTAGACTGCAGTAAATACCCAGCAGAGACTGCAACGTCTTACCAAAGGTCAAACTACTTTGTTGTGCTATTACAGGATCAAAACTTATATACTGAATTTAATGAAAACTTGAACTAGAATGGCAATAATCATGCTTACTAAAATGCAGACCAGTGTGATTCAACAGGTGCCCTTTATATATACAATATATACACATATACACACACACACACACACACACACACACACACACACACACACACATTATATATACACATTATAGTTTGGGGACTGTAGATATTTTAATATTTCTAATGTCTCTTTTATGCTTAACAAGGCTGCATTTATTTGATCAAAAATACAGAAAAAATGTGTAATATTGTGAAATATTTTTACAATTTAAAATAACTATTTTCTATTTGAATATATTTTCAAATGTAACTTATTCCTTTAATGGTAAAGCTAAAATTTCAGCATTATTACTCCAGTCTTCAGTGTCACATGATCCTTCAGAAATCATCCTAATATGCTGATTTGGTGCTCAAAAAAACATTTCCTATTATTATTCTAAATGTTGAAAACAGTTGTGATACTTTATATTTTTGTGCAAATCGTGATACATCTTTTTCAGGAATCTTTGATGAATAGACATTAATTTAGATAAAACTTCAAATATTTAAAATATAAAAGTTTTTACTCTTAATTTTGATAAATTTATTGCATTCTTGCTGAATAAAAGTTTTCATTTCTTAAAAAAAAATACATAGTCCATTTGTATACAAAAAATCAAAAGTACATTTGAACGCTATAGTGTATAAATATTGTTTTACCTTTTTGTCACTTAGACCTGTCACTTGGTCCACAAATTCCTCCTGGATCATGAAGGCAGCCAGGTTGGCAGTGTAACTGGCCAGGAAGATGACAGCGAAGAAGGCCCAGATGGACACTATGAATTTACTGGTGGTGCCTTTAGGGTTTTGCACAGGCACAGAGTTGTTAAATACCAGGCCCCACAACAGCCACACTGCTTTCCCCATGGTGAAGGATGGTCCGTGGGGGTCTGCGGAAGATGTATTTTCAATAACATCCTTAATTTGTGCCAAAGTCTTTCTCAGTGCTTTAATTTTGGAAATAACATTATCTCCCCTCTGCACGGTCATTAGAGTACTTGCACAGAATAAAGCCAACATACAGCACCCTACTGCTCAGCTGTTAATCTTCATATTCTTGAATAGTTCATCAGCCTTTTGTTTTCATATAAGCGGGACTGCATGCAAGAGTTCACCGTGAAACATTAGGATAAATATACAGAAGCTAGAAACGGTTCCTTTGTAAGGTGGGTGTAGAAATTGACAGTTGATTTATCTTTAGATTGCTTTGACGTGCCTCCTTTTTGAAAAAGGACAAATCGAAGCTTTAAACGAGTCATCTAACAAGAGAAGAAATGCTTTTTAGTGCCACATAACAAAGGCACTCCAAATGAGGCTACACGAATTAAATCTGATCCACTTGAATTAAATGAAAATGAATTGAACTTTATTGAACTAACTCGGAGCCTGAAACCACTCAGCGCCGAACACAGTGAAATTAAGTATAAATTAAGCCTTTATGTTTCGCAAAAGAACAGGGGGTTTGTGGTGCAGATGTGAGACACTCTATCAGAGCAGGGCAAGGATTTTCAAGTGTGCCTGAAACTGAAAGACCGACTGCATTGCAGGGGAAACGGAGGAGGAACCGTGGAGGGAGGGAGTGAGTAGCTGAGAGTGCTAGTTACGTACCTTTGCCCTGAGCGAGGTTCCTGTTGAAGCCCAGGGGGCTGATGTACTCAAACATGAAGACAGCCATTGCAGTCACCAGCAGCAGCATCACAAACATCATTATCCACACAGACGCGCTGAAGGGCTCTGCGGCGAAGGAGGAGCGAGAGAAAGGTAGATCAGGGAAAAAAGTCACAGTCAATGACTATCATCCAGGCATTCTGCTTGATATGTGACTATAGACAAGCTGAAGAGATTAAAGAGCTATATCGTGGGAAGCAAATGCGAAAGTGTCCATTGGGGAAGTTTCTCAGAACCTGTAATTATTGGCCTTATACTAATTAAATAATGGCTTGCTGATCTAGTGCCATCAAGCCTATGAATCTAAAAGCGGCCCACTTCAGCGGATTTGTGGGCGACTCTGTCGGCCTGTCGGATCTGCGGTTTGATTGGTGGGAAGACTTCAATATTTTGACAGGTGGAAATACGACTTGCCCCTCACGATCGTCAAGAAAGCGGCTGCTGTGCCCTGCAGATAGTTACCTAAAAACGCTGATGGAGAGACGGTTCCGTTGCTACGGGATACCATCACACTAATCCCTGTTTCCACGAAGGGGACGGAGAAATCGATGGCCTCTGAGCGCTCCTCATTGATTGTCAGGGAGCCCACGGCCATGACTGCTTTTTTGTACACCACCTGCGGAAGGAGAGGAGACGACACGGAGGTTTAGTCAAAAGCTGCAACGTTTATACAGAACACCTGGGACATTTCGATTCATTTTTGCAGCCGAATGAAACCTGAGTTCCAGCATTTCACTCTCTCTGGATCCAAATTGAACAAATATCTAGATCCTTTCCCCAATTTCACATTTGATTGCTATCAGGCTTTGACTGTTACAAAATTACCAGTGGAGAGTGCGCGAGAGAAGGAGAAGCGCACTGCGCTTCTGTGAACAAAACTTTATTCAATCTAACCTTTGTTTAGCTGCGTAAATGGAAAAGCAGCGTTCGATAACAAATCGCATCGGCAGATTTGGCTATTGAAATCTTCTCACCTCTCCCACCATGCCGTTCCACATGTTGTTGATCTTCTTCCCATGCTTCCCGTTGGTCACTAGATAAAGGTCATAGGTGAACTTCACATTCCGAGCGATTTTCTTGAGGATGTCAATGCAGAAGCCTTTGCAGCACTTTTTAATGTACGTTCCTCCTCCCTCAGTGGTGTTGCTGATGGATAGAGCACATTAATCACAGTTCAACTTAAAGCAGAATATCTGAATCATGATGTCAGGACCATTTCAAGCTTAGCTGACTGATGCATTTTCTGAATTGTTCCATGCACAGGGAGAGATATGGCAGTATTGCAAGTTTTGTGCTTTAAACATGGGAATGAATCCTAAATTATTCCAATGTCTTAGTAAGATTTTTTTTTTTAAAGAAAGAAATAAATACTTTTATTCAGCAAGGATGCATTAAATTGATTAAAAGTGAAAGTAAAGACTTACATTGTTACTAAAAATTTATATTTCAACTAAATGTTGTTCTATATTAATCAAAGAATCCTGAAAAATTTATCACTGTTTCCACAAAAATATTAAGCAGTACAACTGTTTTCAACATTGACAATAATGTTTCTTGAGCACTAAATCAGCATATTAGACTGATTTCTGAAGGATCATGTAGACTGGAGTAATGGCTTCTAAAAACTCAGCTTGGTCATCACAGAAATAAATTAAATTTTAAAGTATATTCAAATAGAAAAATATGTTACTTTACATTGTAATAGAATTTCACAATATTGCTGTTTTTACTGTATCAAATAAATGCAGCCTGGCGAGCATAAGAGGCTTCTTTCAAAAACTTTTAAAAATCATACCGACCTCAACATTTGAATGGTAATGTAGATGGAAACTTTAACCTATTTGATGAAAGAAATGTTAATGACCACAAACACTTATCAGTAAACTAAAACTTACAGAATGGCATTTTGGCGTTTTTAAACAATGTGCTCTCTCTGGACCGTAATGGATGAATTTGACAGATTTAAATGTATATTTATTGTCACAACCTAAATGTTTGGGGAATTAATCTGAGCACTTGTGATCAGCTACATATATCACACAATATGTCAGAGTGTTACTTCATGTTCGTAAATCACAAAAAAAAGGTTAAGCACAAATATTGAAATTATATATTATATTTTAACATTTTAATCTCACCAGAAACATGAAATTACGAACAAAATCATCGTTATCTTTGTAGACCTCCTTTAGTGCAGTTACTATACAGTGTGTGAACTTCATGTGAATTTCACTGCATGTACACAATAACCAATCATGTGTGAACAGAGCGGGATTAAGCACTCAGAAGAGGAGTCACAATTGTATTTAGCTGCAGTGTGTCTAAATCATATTTTGGACAGCAGCCTGCTTGCGCACACCATTCACTAGCTGGGATTACAGTACAGTAGGTATAGTGTGCTGAAGCATGAACGATGAAGCCTTTCGCTGCCGGCAGTGGAGAAATTTCTTAATTACAATTAATAGTAGGGCTTTCCCTTGAGAGCCTCTCAGGGAGCCATCAAGGGAGTGCCAAACCTCTGGTGAAAATTGCAGTCGGCTGGAGATTTCTGATGCCTCATAAAGACCACCGTCAATCTGTGCCGACTTAATTGCAGAGGGGTTTCTGTTTTCCCGAGCGAGGCGGAAGACAATTCTATTTACAGGGCAATCAAGATGATTATTTCATTTGGACTGGGGGAGAATGTCCTGTTTTTACACATAGTCAGGAGGGGTTGACTGGAGTAGAACCTGCATAACTCCAGCTTACAGTACGTCAAGTGTTCATACACTCAACTTTTATTTATTTCTCAGCAGAATTTATCCTAGGGTACTACCTCACCCAAACAAAAGTCCTGTTTACACATGGTATTAAAATCTGGGTGATCCAATCCCAAGCAGTTAGCCAGATACATTAATGTTTACCTGGCAAGGACTAGGAGTGGCACTTATTATCAAATGTACCAATTAATTTAATTATAATTTAATTAATTATCAATTTTATTAACTTAAGAATAAAAACATAAATAAACAAATCATTTTATTTTTACATTTATTTTATTCTTTACTGTTACATTTAACTACATTTTTTAAACAAGATTTAGATTTTAAAAAGTGATAAATACGTCTATTTGCCAATTTATTTGACAACATTTGATTTATTCTACTTTTCATTTTTTAATTGTTAAAGAATATATTTATATTATTATACATTTTTTATTTTTTAATTACAATAAAAAATTAAATAAATAGATCACTTTACTTAGGCCAACTTTACTTATGTCAAATGAATAAAGAAAAACATTGGCAAAGAGACAAACAAATGCAATGTAAATGTTGCAATTAAAAATGACTTATGAATTTTTTTCTTTATTGTTAAATTTAATTACATATTTAAACAACAATTAGATTAACAGTTTTAAATGTCCATTTTGTTTATTTTATTTTTTTGCCAAATCAACAATTTGATTTATTTATTCAGATTTGTGCATATTTTTCATATGCAGAGATCCTTACACTGAGTCAGGAATGCGCAAAACTTTTGGTTTTGTCCAAGACAGTTTACAGAACACTTATTACAGGGACAATCCCCCTGGAGTAGCCTGGGGGGTAAGTGCTTTGCTCAAGGGCAAAATGGCAGTGGTTAATGGACTGTCCCTTGTTGGGTTTAAACCTACAACCTTTTGGTTAACGGGATCCTTAACTACAAGTCTGCACAACATGCACTCTGGTGAAGGCATGTTCTGGACATAATTATGAGAGACTGGTATGAATATAGAACACTCTCCAATTAGCAGACAGTTGTTCAAAGCAGCTAAGCTTGTAGAGAAAAGTGTACTTTAGTAAAGAAAAAAATTACAGGGTTGCAGACAGGACAGAGCTGCATTAGTAATCACGCCACCATCTGTGAGTGGAGCATATCCACTGCAGAGATCAGACAGACAACACTTAAATTAGCAAAGCCACATGGGAACCTCATTTAACTTTTAGATTGAAGCTAATTAAGACTCGGCTCTCTATATTCTTTAAACAGATCAACAATAAGAAAAAAAACACTTATGAGTATACTTTGTCTCCACAGATTGCTCCCATGCACGCCAATTCCTTCTTCTCACTGCGACCTATTTTTTGCTATCGCCATGTATTTGATGTAGTCCCGATGTAGCCCCAGATGTAGTCTTCATGCAACGACTATAAATATTTTTTTCAGAGACCTCAAAATAATGCAAATACTTCCATTATGTCTTACCAGAGAAAGTGCATGTGCACTGCGTAAACCTTCAATGCTGGAGATGCCAGAGGTCGAACAAAACAAAACAAAAAAATCTATGAAAAATTACTCTGCTTATCAAAATTATTATTAAAATAAAAATGACTGCACCTTAAAAAATGTGCATTGCATAGGCCTTCATTACTAGGGAAGCAAAAGTTTGAAATATAAAATAAAATAACATAAAATAAAATATAAAATATTCTGTTTATCAAAATTATCATTAAAATAAAAATTACTACAACTTTAAGTGCATTTTTTTTTACTGAGTCTACAATGCAGATACAGTACAGTCTACAAATGACTGAAAAGCTGAGCTATGAAATTTGTGTTTCCTGTTTTTATGTTACAAAAAAAAGCTAATTGTAAATCCAGCCGAGCACTGATCTCATGAAAGCAGAGGAGTGTTTTTGGCAGCAAGAAGTGGCTGCATGCCTTCTGACTGCAGAAATGAACAAACTTTCCTGTCTCCACAATGAGAGAGACACACATTCGACTGCCTAGGCAAAATCCAGTTTAAAATCAATATCTTCCCCTCTGTGCTGGCTATGACGCACACAATGAATTCCCCCGGCTCCTGCAGAGGTTCTGTTCAAACTCTCACAAGGCAGAATCCATATTATTACAGAGTCTTCCTCCCATTTTGATACCCAGCGGCAATAAGAGGGGCTCCCTTATGTCACCAGACCGCTTCCTCGCTGCCTTTACTACACCAATTACATTCTTATGAAGACACACTGCCTGTTTGTTTCTTCTTTTAGAGATTTTTTTATTTTATTTTTTTTTAATATGGCAGGCAATTCTGATCCCTTGCCCAGACAACACAAAGTGTGAAAATCTAGGAGTTAAATCTAAGAGGTAAAAGTTGGAGGTGATAGTCTGAGCTGATAAGTTGACAACAGGCTTCAGATATCTGAATTCTGCCATTTGCTTTTAAAGTACAAATATCTCAGTGACTCATCAGAGTGATCTTGAATTGTGTGCATCTGTTTGTGTGTGTGTGTGTTGGTCACTGAAGCATGTTTCCTCTGTGTCTGCAGCTTGTCAAGCTGGCACTGCATCCGTTTCTACATCTACAGACCTCAGTGGCAGCTAAAGTAGAGGGTAAAACAACAGCTGAGGATACCAGATGAGCTGCTGTTCACACATCATCACATTTATCTCTGACAGAGGTCAGTCAGAGTCTTAGACTGTCTGTCCGTCAGACTGGGCCAAAAAAGTCTTCACATAAATATAGTTATTTGTTGGGGGGCTTAAAGTATTAGTTCACCCATCAAAATGAAAATTCTGTCATCTTTTACATATCTTTATTTCATTCCAAACCTGCTGACTTTCTTCTTTCATGAAACAAAAAAATATATAATTTTTGAAGATCTACTTATTTTGAGGCCACACTTTTTATTTGATATAAAATCAAATAAATGCAGCCTTGGTGAGCATAAGAGACCCCTTTCAAAAACATTCAAAAAATCTTACCAACCCCAAACTTGTCATTATTTACTCACCCTCATGCCTTCTCCAAACCTAAATGATAATAATAATATAATAATAATTAATAATTGAATAATAATTTATGCATTTAGCAGACGCTTTTGTCCAAAGCGACTTACAGTGCATTCAGGCTATACATTTTTTACCAGTATGTGTGTTCCCTGGGAATGAAACCCACGACCTTTTGCGCTGCTAACACAATGCTCTACCACTGAGCCACAAGAGCACATATGATAATAATAATTATTATTATTATTACCATTTAAAATAGTTTTCTAATGGAATACTTAAAAAAATGTAATTTATTCCTGTGATGCAAAGCTGAATTTTCAGCATCATTACTCCAGTACTCAGTGTCACATGATCCTTCAGGAATCATTTTAATATGCTGATTTGTTGCTCAATAAATATTTCTTATTATTATCAATGTTGAAAACAGTTGTGGCACTTAATGCTTTTGTGGAAACAGTGACACATTTTATTTCAGAATTCTTTGATAAATAGAAAATAAAAAAACAGCATTTATAAGAAATAGATTTTTTTGTAACAACAAAAAAGTCTTTATTGGCAGTTTTGATCAATTTAAACGGTTATATACTGTGATATACTGTAGGGCTGCACGATTATGACAAAAATCATAATTGTCAATTATTCCCTTGAAATTGTAATTGCGATTATTAATTACGATTATCACAATTTACATTGAATGATGTTTATACCATTGTTTTATGCAACTGCATGCCGTATTTTTATATGAAAACAAACAAGCTGAAAACACACTAACTGAAAAACTTGTAGTGCTTTTCTATAGTATTAAGCCTCAAATGTCAACTATACATCGGATTGGTTTCTTTAAATTATAAAAAAGTAAAAATATGAATGGTATTATAATGTTATACTAAAACTAAAATTAAAATAATGGGAAAAACCCTTAAGAACATGTAGAAAGAAAAAAACGCATCTTAAGTGTGCAGAATAACTTAAGTGGACTTTGAACGATTAATTGCCACTTTGAACGATTACGTAATTGTGGCATCCATAATTGTAATCGCGATTAGAAATTCGATTAATTGTGCAGCCCTAATATACTGTTTATATCAGTGACAGATGAGCTTTCAAATAAGTAAGAAATCTTCTATTGCTTTTACCATAAACATTCTGTTTAATGTGATTATGGCTCAGTAGTTAAGTTGACTGAGTAATTTTATGATAAAAGCAAGCAGATAAGGAACCAATAAAGTTAGGCTGAGAGAGAGACACAGAGAAAGAGAGGCAGGTCTATCTCATGGAGGACCGGACTATATATCCTGCCAGTGTCTTTGCATGCCTCAGTAATTTCTTCCTCCCTTTCCTTTCCTCCAAATTGGCATAATGCTTGAAATTGGATTGTGCCATTGAAGAAACACAACAGAGAGCACTGGCCTGTTTGCAAGTGGACATGTGTGGCATCCATGTATACTCTCTTGTGTTTATGCATTTTCTCAGTTCTTTGATGAGACTAATCTTCGTGCATACAGGGCAAGCTATAGTGATCCTATGAGATCATATATTCTTCGCCCTATTTAGCAGTGTAAAAAAATCCAATAAAACATGGCCAGTTTTCACATTCTGTGTTAATCATGGCTCACAGATCACAACAACTTTTATGACTGTGCCTTTTTTAATAAACTCAAACATGTAAACTACTGTTCATAAGTCTGGGGTCTGTACAATTTAAAAAAAAAGATAATAAGAATAATTTTATTCAGCATTAATTTGATCAAAATGTTTTCAGCATTGATAAGAAATGTTTCTTCAGCATCGAATCAGCATATAAGAATGATTTTTGAAGGATCATGTGACACTAAAGACTGGAGTAATGACTGCTGATAAATCAGCTTTGCATCACAATAATATATTAACAATATTTCATAATATTACTGTTTTTACTGTAACTTTAGAAAAGGCATTTTTTATTTTAGAAAATGTATTTTTTAGAAAAACCTTTGGGTCTCCCTTGGACAATAAGCACCTAAAACTCAGTTAACACCTGTAAAATTCCAATCTAGTGTCAAGCGGACAGTAACACACTACAATACTTATTGATGTACAGTATGTAGTCATGCAATCAACAACCCTCCACATATATCAAACACTCTTTAAGAGTGCTCTAACATCCCTCTACGCACCTCTCTAGGGTCAGAAAGTCAAACATCCATCGGTTTGAGAGTGATTCTTTCAGGAGATGTGTGAGTGATAGAGAAGGTGAGCAGCAAGCCTTACTCTTTGATGTGTTTGCGGCAGGGCACAGAGTTTCTCATGCAGGTGCCTGTCAGGCGCTCCACATTCTCCACAATGACAAAAGGCTTTTCCTCTAGAGTTACAATGGTCAGGTGATTGTCATCTGTCTCCGCATCACCAAAAGAGTTGAAGCGAGGCCACACAGGATATTTCAAAGTCAAACTCTGGTTCTCCCATTTGCCCATCTGGAAATTAATTGAAAAGAGGAGTGTCACATTACTGCTCAATAGCTTACTAGCATTATTCTTTTACTTACAATATTGCCAACACATCAATGTACACAATAACAACAGTGACAGAAAGAAAAAAAAACGGAAAGATTAAAAAATAGGTGCTCATGATTGTAATGAAATTGTTAAAAAAAAATCTAACTAAAATTAAAATAATATTAATAAAAAATATTGAAAAAAGTGAAATAAGAATGTGAATGTGAATGTGAAATAAGTTCTTCAAATTATTTCACACATTTATAATAGTGAAAGAGAAGGTGTGACTCTGTCTCAACCTCACCAGTGTCACACTAACACAGATTTGTTTTTCCTTTGGATGCCATGTTTGTCTGTGTCTGTCTTCTATGGCTAGACTGTGATCACTAAGCATGTATTTGCTGAGGATCCGTCTCTGCATTGTGTCTTACGCTCTGTCTCTCTCTCAGTCCCAGAGAGCAAGGTGTGGGGATAAAGCAATGCTTGAGAGCAAATCATATCAGATCCACCGATGCCAGGCAAACACATTCATCAAACAGTGCCACATAACACAGTCCCTGTGTCTGAATATGCAAAAATACACAAAAACAAAGATGCGACATGAAAAAGATCAAATACATTTCTACAGTATGTTGTTTAAAAAAATAAAACATAGTTTACAATTTTAAATAAATAAATAAACAAACAAACTTAATACACAAAAATACAGGGACAGGAAAAAGATAAAATAAAATACATTGTAACAGTGTATACAGTATGTTGTATAATGTTACAATTTAACATTGTTAAAAAAAGAAATAAATAAAAAGATGTAAATAAACAAATAAAACTAATCAAATAGTTCCATATAACACAGTCCTTACACACACACACACACATACAAAGAGTAAGGAAATGCCAGTAAATCATAAAATTGTACAGTATGCTTTTTTAAATAAAGTAATAAAGAAATGTAATAAAGAAACAAAAAAGAAAACAAAAATAAATTATATTAATCAAATAGTGCCACATACAGTAATATATAGATACAGAGTTCCCTATCGATACTTCACTCGTACTGCGTCTGTTTAAGACGCTTGGGGAAAACTCCTTTATCTCCGATGACTGAAGCCTTTCAATAACGCAGTGTAACTGCACGGCCATTGGTTCGTGCAGGGAATAAAAAACAAACCAATGGCTCGGCAGCAGAGCTGCACGAGCCTATGGTGGTAAAGCCCACCAAAGCCCGCCAGAATGGGCGGGGACATCTGGCTATATAAGCGGCACATCCCCATAGGATCCTCAGATTATTCTCCTTCAGCGACGACTACTAGATCTTTGCTCCACGAGACTACGAAGCCTTCGCCGTGATCAAGCCTCGCAGCGGATCGAGAGACCCCCTTCCTGCTTGGCCATTCTTGCCGCTTCACGCCGCCCTCGCACCTGCAGCAGTGACGGTCTCCGGTTCCCTGCCGCTATCTGGCGATATAAAAGAGCAAATTTTCGGCGTTGTTTCAAATGCCGCGCCCTTACTATCGCTCGTGCTGTTGGTCACGGTGAGTGTGTTTCATGCTTGGGCGCCGCCCACGCTAAAGCAGCACTCATTGAGACGGAATGTCCTCATTGCAAGGATATGAGTCTCGCCTCTCTGTGCTCGCGGAAAGCTTTCTTTTCAGAGAGTGACTCCGCCCCTCACGCCCTCCCACTTTCTTCCTCTCAGGAGCCTGTGAGGAAAATGCAGCGGGGCAGAGGAACTGGTGACGAGTGAGCCCACGCCGACTGAGCCCCCGCGTGCCTCACTCTCTCCACTTAGAGAGGTTTCTCCAGTCCACTTCTCCCTCACTGACCAGTGTCCCTCTGCGGCTGCGAGCGATCTGGTCTCATTTGGAGGAAGCGAGTGTGACGCCATGGACGACAGCATGTCGTTGAAGGCTTCAGATGCGGAGGAGCTGTCGGGCTCGTACGTCGACCCCGCCCCCTTGCCATCTGCACAACCCAGCACAGCCAGCACGGGCATGGACGCCGAGCTTTTCCGCGTCCTGTCTAAAGCTGTGGAGGAGCTGGGTTTGGAGTGGTCTCCGCCGGAGGAGCCCACCCGCAGCCGCCTGGATGAATGGTTCTTGCCGGGGCGCAGTCAGGCCCCCCGACAACGAGCTTCACCATTCTTTCCGGAGGTCCACGACGAGATCACCAAGTCTTGGCATGCCCCCTACTCGGCCCGCCTTCGTGCCTCATCTTTGTCCGACCTCCATCAGTCGACGGCGCCGAAGAAAAAGGATACAACAGACTGCCTCCCCTGGATGGGTCAGTGGCCGCGCATCTCTGCCCACCCACGGCCATCAGCTGGAAGGCAAAGGCGACCCACCCGTCCAAGCCGTGTAGGGCGACTTCAGCTCTCACCGGACGAGCCTACTCGTCTGCTGGACAAGCGGCCTCGGCATGGACGAGTCCGGCCTGGACCCTGCAGCTTTTAAGGAGCTGCGCAGTGCGACCAACCTGGCTCTACTCGCCACCAAGATGACAGCGCAGGTGATTGGCAGATCCATGACTGGCCCAACCTCCTCCTTTACGCTTTTCCCCCGATTGCTCTGATTCCACAGGTGATCAGGCGAGTCAGGGAACAGAGACGCAAGGTTCTGTTGGTGGCCCCGCTCTGGAGGAACTAGCACTGGTTTGCAGAGCTGTGCCGGCTGCTCTCGGCAGCCCCATGGCCCATTCCCCTGAGACGGAGCTGTGGGCTCTGCACCTTTGGCCTCTTGATGGGAGCTTGCGAACCTCCCCGAGAACGTGCTAAACACAATCTCTCAGGCTAGAGCACCATCTACAAGATGCCTCTATGCCCTTAAATGGTCTGTCTTCTCCGCCTGGTGTACAGCCCGCGGCGCAGACCCAATCTCATGCGACATATCTCTGATATTGTCCTTCCTGCAAGAGCTTTTGGATAAGGGCCGTTCCCCTTCCACGCTCAAGGTCTATGTAGCAGCCATAGCAGCTTCTCACGCTCCTATAGCTGGCCAATCGGTGGGCAGGAACAACTTGGTTGTTCATTTTCTGAAGGGGTCTAGAAGGCTCAAACTGCCTTGCCCCATCACTGTCCCTACATGGGATCTGCCCACGGTGTTGAGGGCTCTGAAGAGCCCTCCATTTGAGCCGCTACAGTCCATTGACCTTGGTCCCCTGACGCTTAAGACTGCTCTGCTTCTAGCAGCAGAATCGGTAAAGCGTATGGGAGATCTGCAGGCGCTATCAGTGAGCCCAACTGCCTCGAATTCGGGCCCAACAACTCTAAGATCGTCCTGAAACCAAGGCACGGTTATGTATCTAAGGTGCCCTCTACTCTATTTAAAGCACAGGTAATAACTCTATCGGCGCTTCCTCCTTCAGAGCAAGACCAAGAGTTGAACTTACTCTGTCCCGTCAGGGCGCTGAAAGGCTATGTTGAGCGTTCCGCCCCGTTCAGGTGGTCGGATCAGCTATTCGTATGCTTCGGTGGCCGCACCAAGGGTTGTCCGGTTACGAAGCAGAGACTTCCCAAATGGATAATTGATGCTATTATGCTCCGCTGCTGAGCCATTGGTTCATTTTTTATTCACTGCACGAACCAATGACCATACAGTTATACTGCATTATTGAAAGGCTTCAGTCATTGGAGAAAAAGGAGTTTTCCCCAAGCGTCTTAAACAGATGTAGTACTCGTTCCGTATCTCAGGGAACCGAGGTTACGTTAGTAACCGAGTACGTTTCCTTTATCTGCAGCACAAAATTAAATGTAATACTCAAATACTGCCATCCATACTTATGTACAGTGGGTACGGAAAGTATTCAGACCCCCTTCAATTTTTCACTCTTTGTTATATTGCAGCCATTTGCTAAAATCATTTAAGTTAATTTTTTTTCCTCATTAATGTACACACAGCACCCCATATTGACAGAAAAACACAGAATCGTTGACATTTTTGCAGATTTATTAAAAAAGAAAAACTGAAATATCACATGGTCCTAAGTATTCAGACCCTTTG